CTTGTTGATGATGGTAAGCAGCTTTCTTGAACAGCTGAAATCCATGTGATGAAGCTACTTCCACTTTGCTGTTAAGTTGGGAATTCCTGGAATTTGACCAGCAACAAGAGATGGTGAAAGATGGATAATATATTTTGAAGTCAGTATAGTGTACACTCAGTGGGGATCTTGCAAATGATGCAATTTCCATGTACCTAATGTCCTTGCAATCATGATTAGCACTTTGCTCATAAAATTTTATTCTGAGATATTGTTTCAAAGCAATATTTCTTTTTGATTTTGGTTGCTGATCATTAATTAAAAGCACGGAGCCCATTTCTCCAAATAGAATTTCTTAAATGAAAAACAGTAGCTGAATTCTGATTCCAATTTAAAACATTTCAGTTCTGAGGAAGGGTCACCGGACTGAAACGTTAACTCTGTTTTCTCCTTCACAGATGCTGCCAGACCTGCCGAGCTTTTCCAGCGACTTTGCTTTTGTTCCTGATTTACAGCATCCGCAGTTCTTTTGGTTTTTAAAACATTTCACATCACTTTTAGTTTAATTAAGTTCACTAATTTTAATCAAATATCTGTTATATAATAAAAACAGAAAGTACAAGAGAAACTAGGCAGGTTTGACACCATCTGCAGACAGAGAAACAGTTATTATTTTGAGTCCCTTCAAAATATTTATTTTATCTGTTATAATGTGTTGCCTTTATTTCTTTATTAACTTCTTTTTACAATCAGAAACTAAATGAATATTTTATATTAGTTGTTTAGTCTGAGCCAGTTGTATCTTTCATGTAAATATTATCCATATGATATCCACAAAGGAATGTTACACTCCTAGGCTCTCATCCAAGTAGTGCCACCTATTGTATTTTGGATCCTTCTTTGAAATGCATATGCATATAACTGTGTTATTAAACATGTCAACACAAACAAAAACATATCCATTTCTGTTTTAAAATAAATTTCCTTATATTCAATAACAAACAAGTGAAGGGGACACTCAGTAAAGCACACACCTCCTTCAAGTTGTGTTAACTCAACAAATTACCATCACGTAGCTTTTCCTTGAGGCTTTTCTGTGCCTTAATGTTGCTTTGTAACAACAAAGCTAAAATAAAAATATTTTAATTAAGAGCTTCCTTTTCACTGATCTGGCTTCACACAAACCACATTCGACAACTTACTGTGAAAACTCTGTTTAAATGGCTATATGATGTTTTACTACATCAGCTGAGACAATCTACAATATTCTGAATAGGATAGAAAAAGTAAATTTGCTTGATGAGGTTGTTGACTTGCTCGCTTGTTTTTGTTCAGATGTTTCGTCACCATGCTAGGTGACGTCATCAATTGAGCTTCCGTTGAAGCGATGTTATTCTACTCCGCTTAGAATTTATACTGTCCGGTCCGTTATGGTGAATACTGTCATTTTCGGTTTTGATCTGTATGGGTTTGTATCTGGGGCCCAATTCTATGTTTGTTGATTGAAGTATGGGTGGAGAACTATGCCTCCAGGAATTCCCGTGCGTGTCTATGTTTGGCTTGGGCTACTATAGTTACTTTGTCCCAGTTAAATTGATGGCCTTCATTGTCTGAATGTACAGATATTAAGGATAGTTTGTTGTGCTGTTTTGCTGCTAGCTGATGTTCATGTACTTTGATAGCTAGTTTCCTTCCCGTCTGTCTGATGTGATGTTTATAGCAGTCTTTGCATGGTATTTTGTAAACCACGTTCGTTCTGCATGTTGTGGGAATGGGGTCTTTAGTCTTTGTAAGTGTTTGTCATTAGAGTGGTTGTGGGCATGTGGGCCACCATGATTCCTAGTGGTCTTAGGAGTCTTGTTGTCAGTTCCAATATGTTCTTGATGTTGGGTATTATGGTCAGTGTGTTGGGTCGAACTGTGTCCTCCTGTTGTTGTCTGTTTTGTAGGGATCTGTGGATGAAGTTGCGGGGATATCCGTCTAAAGCGAGGATCTTGTTTCAGTGTTCTTCCTCTTTCCTGCGTAGTTCTGGAGTGTTGCAGTGTGTTCTGGCCCGTTTAAATGGTGTCCTAATGTTTGTGGACGTTGGGGTGGTTGCTGTGGAAGTTGAGGATTTGATCTGTTTGGGTTGCTTTTCTGTATACTGAAGTTTGGAACTCCCTGTTTGTCAATCATTCTACTTTAGCATCCAGAAATGGAAATTGATTGTTGTTTTCTTCTTCCCTTGTGAATTTAATCCCCGTGAATATGCTGTTGATGAGGTGGTGGGTCTCTTCTAATTTGCTGCGTTTAATAACGACAAATGTGTCGTCTACGTACCAGATCCACAATTTAGTTTGAATGTGGGGGAGGGTGGTGTGTTCTAGTATTTGCATGACTGCTTCTGTAATGAGTCCTGAAATGGGTGACCCCATTGGTGTACCGTTGATCTGTTTATATATTTGACCATTAAAGACGAAGTGTGTGGTGAGGCAGAGGTCCAGTAATTTAAGTATGCTGTCCTTGCTGATGGAGCTGCTGATCTGCGTTGCTGTTTCCTCTAGTATTGTTTTAAATTTGCTCTATCTCTGAATGTTAGTGGGTTCTTTAAAATATTCAAGATTCCGATCTGTATCTTTGCTAAAAAGCTAAACAGTACTTCCTTGGTCAATACCCTATTTTGGATCAATTAATGTATATAACATCATTTGGTCTGCTAATGACAACCCTTATTGTAAATCACAGGATACAGTGACTCATTTTGCTAGTGTAATGTATTCTCTTTATTTTCTCTTCTGTTCTTCTCGCTCATTTATTCACCTGCTTGACTCTGAATAATCCTTTGTTTTCTCTTTTCTGTCTCCTCCTTTTCTGAGTCTTGCTCTTTCCTGTTTCCCTTTCCCACTCAATTATTTTAGTCTGAAATGTGGATCTTGTTCAATTGAAAGTACAAGAAACTGTCAAGAGAAATGTAGCCCAGGTTAGATTTTGGGATGGGGAACAACAGAGCTCCGAGTTAGAACTGATTTTCCAAAATCCCCTAATCCTTATTTGCCCTTTGTTCCTCCCCCCTCACTCTTCATTTTCACTTCTCTTCTCTTCTACTTATCACTGTATTCATTGTCATTCTTAACCCATCCCTCACTCCTGCATTAGTTTTGGCCTGAAGCCATTTTTCTCTAGCATTGAGTCAGGAATTCTTCATTTTGTTTTCACTTAAAGCATTTAGTGTGTTATAAATGCATTTTAAAATAAAAAGCACTGTTAAAGATCTTGTTAGTCTCACTGCTTAGTTCTGTGCAACTGGTGAAGAGAAACCAATGCAATGTAGTGCAAATCGAGAGTTTGTGCTCAGCCTCTTAAGCATGGGATTTAAACCCACTTTGAGTCAGAGGAAAAAGTGAACCACAACTGACATTAGACTCTCCACTGTATGCAGAACATTATAATGAATAGTTTAACATCTACCATTTAGATGGCCTGGTCATCTTAAATAACAAAACCTAGATGTGACAAAATCATGGGGTAGAAATTATGTATTGCTGATATATAATGCAAACTGGATATAGGAAATAATACTTGTGCCAAAACAGGTGGGCACAAGGTCGAAACAAAATTGTATCTTGGACCATACTTAGACTGTTGAGCTGTAGACACCTGCTGCATAACTCCAGACAGCTTGATAGCCAAGCAGAAATTATTGTTGAGTTCTTTGTTTTTTTTTATTAATTTAACTTGTTAATTTTGTTTATTGCTGAATATATGTTATCCAGGTAGCAGCTTCTGGTATGCCCTAGGAGAAGGTTTGGAGTGTGCTTTTGGGGTCACAATGCTTGTGGATCTAGTGGAGCATATTCTGTTTTCTTAGCTCTTTCTCTTTGAAGAAATTTTGCTACCTTACATTCATTGGTGTTGCCAGAGTTACTACAGAATCTTGAGTGGGACAGGGCCCAATGTGTATTCTGAGTGCCTAAAAGAGTGGGCATCACAAATTTAGAAGTGAGACCAACAACTGTGCAGAATGAATGCATGTAGATACATTGTTAAAATGGCACGATGTGCATCTGAAACAAAAAACATAAATAATTCCAATATCAACCTGAACATTTTCACAGGGAGGCGGAAGAAGCAACGTTTGATAAATCATTATTATTACTTATACCTAATGTGGAGAATAATGTGTGTGGCGGGGTTTAGACTTGTCTTTATCACTCACTATCATAATTATAAGAAGGATGGTAAGGTTCAATCAATAATTATATATGTGTAATAAGGTTCTTAAATCCAGTGTTCTTCACTATTATTTGTGGTCTTGAAAATTATTTTGAGTATGCCATTATAAATATGCAACTTTCAAGCTTTGGGACACTGACGATTTTTTTCAGATTAGTTAACATGCACATTTGGACAGAAAAAAAATCAAAGATGCACTGTAAAAGCAAAGTGCTGCCACTTTTCTGATGTAGATAATAACGTTTTCTATTTCACTCCTGGAACTTCAGTTGATGTTAATATTGACACTGACAGTCCCAAGTTGCTGCCATTAAAAGTGGAACCGTTACCTGAAATGGTAATCTTACTGATGCATGGTTAAAAGCAGATGCACGTTCCTTACACATTTATCCATTCGAACAAATGGTGACCTGCTGCAGGGGTAGGGGTAAGTGATGGTTCTCCAACCTCCACCTTGTCTCCGGGTTCCTGGGCAACGGCCCCTTTACCCACAGTAACTGTAGGCCGTGTGTGTTTAAGGTGCCTCTGCCCTTGGGGAGAGGGTTTGATGTTTGGAGATGGGGGTGGAGGAGGTGATTAACTTACACCCTGCTTCCTAAGCAATTCTGTGGCTGTTTGAATGAAGCCAGAGAGGACACCTGAAAGCGCGCTCTCGTCACCCCGGGCGCGAGCGTGCTCCCCTCACACGAGCGCGCCCCTTACCTCCGTCACACGAGCTCGCGCGCTGCCTCAACGTCTCCCCACGCGCCCCCATCCCCCTAACACCACTCCGACCCCGCGCCTCCTCGCATCTCGCGCGCACCCTCAGTCGCCGCTCGAGCCCAGTTTGCAGCTCAGCCCCGCTCGGCTTCGCTGCTCCGGCGGTTGCTGTCAAAGTCAGGCCGACAGCAGTGGCCAGGGGCCGGCAGAGAGAGGGACACAGGGACAGGGGCGCACCGAGCCAGCAGCGAGGAATCCCGTCGGTTGAACATCAGCGGAGCCCGGATGTTACACAATGATGCTGGATAAAAAAACGGAGGGAAACGAAATAGCCACCGGTGTTTGACTATTATGGGGGTCGGGGGATGAAAAGCCGCCTCGTCATTTCGTTTTTAGTCAATTTATTTTTCGATGCAATACAAAAGTAGTGAGAATGTATGAATTAAAGGAGCCCTGCGAAGGTAAGTGATGTGAGGTTGATTACAATCGCACAGTCGAGGATGCTCGAGCTGAAGTGACTTGGAAGGTTTTAATTCATATATCTGACATTTGCCCTAAGCTATTTTCTTTCTGTTTGATTGATATTTCATTTTTAAGATATTTCATTTCTGACAAAAGAGCAGAAGAGTCAGTCGTTCTTTTGAATCATAGTGTAATTCGGTTAAACCTCGTGGTTAATAAACATTTGGATTTTAAATAACTTTTTACGTAAACGATTTTAGTTCACATTAAGATTTAATAATCGCATCACGCTGAATAGGGGAAACACCCTGGTTGTGGATATTACAGACTTCGCTTTCAATATACATGCTTCATTGGAATACATTTTGTGACAGTTAATGTGGCAGAAAGATACACACGCCGTCCTCGTCTATTTAAATAAACACATTTTGTTTCAGGTTGATGTGTAAGGCAGTGGTGACATGAAACCTCTGAATGTAGCCTTAAAGTAATCTGGCAATAATGCAAGCTGCTGAACCGGTGTGATAGATATTTTTGCAGTTTTCACATGTTCACTTCTGTTGTATTTAAATACAAAATCATGGATGTATTTACTCTCGCGATTTCAAAAACGGATTTGTTATTTAGTTTTAAGGGTTGCTTTAAAGCATTACCCCTGGTAAACATATGTTTTTTTAATAAAAAGGTCACTTCCACGTCTGATTACGTCTTTCTTTCACAGGAGTAAATTATGCCAGCAACAGACACCCTTTATCTAGTGACGGATGGCGTCTCCAGTCAAACTCCGAATTACCCAGGCCAGCAGCACTGTCCTGGCAAGCTGCTATTGACGCGGCTAGGCAAGCTAAAGCTGCCGCAACCATGAACTCGACCACGGAATCCAACAGTGCAGCAGCCCAAAGAAAACGCCAGCAATTCGCCAAGAGCAAGAAGCAGCAGGGCAGTACAGTGAATAACAGGCCAGCCCGTGCCCTATTCTGCTTAAATCTCAACAACCCTATTAGAAGAGCCTGTATTAGTATTGTAGAATGGAAGTATCCTTTTTCATCTGCTCTTTGTCATATGATGTGCGCAAGAGCTTCGACACGTGAAAAATCAGAAGCTGCGTGTTCTACTTTTTGAGTATCTTCCTGCAAGGCATCGCAGTATTTGCATATTGCACGTAAAATACGACTAAATATGTAGGATACTGTATTTGTAGGCAAAATGGTAGCAAATCCTTAGCAAAACTAATTCTAATGCCATCCAGCAAATTTCATGTAAGGACAATATGCTGTCAGCATTATCCTCAATTTTTTTTGCATAATTTTAATAAAACCACAAAATCGGGGCAAATTGAACGAACGGAATTCAGTCAAAGTGTATTCTTAGGAAGTCTATGATATTACAATTATTCCAATTACAGTACATCTGTATGTTATGATTTACGTATGTTATGATAGACTCTTTATCTGAAGGTGAACTCAAACTTAGGTATGAGATAGTAGGAACTGCCGATGCTGAAGTCTGAGATAACAAGGTGTGGAGCTGGAGGAACACAGCAGGCCAGGCAGCATCAGAGGAGCAGGAAAGCTGACTTATCAGGTCTGGATGCCTTCTTCAGAAAATCCAGACCCCAAACGTCAACTTTCCTGCTCCCCTGATGCTGCCTGGCCTGCTGTGTTCCTCTAGCTCCACACCTTGTTATCCCAAACTTAGGTATGTTGGATCTAAAAAACTTTTCAACCTTATTCATAATATGTGTTCCATAATGGTCCCAAAACAAACACATCTTTTTGTAAATCAATTGCACAACCATAATTATCTAGCATAACTAAGATTAGAAAATGCTGTAAGTGTTCATAGGTTAGGCAACGTTTGTGGAATAAAAAACAGAGTTAACACTTCAGCTAGATGGATGACCTGTCATTAGAACTAACTACCAAACAACTGATTTCCTGAAATGGATATCTGTTGGCACCATACACTGTTGCTTCATTATTTGAAACATTTTATATTTGTTGTGCAATATTGGGATTATAACTTAACAATGTCAAGGAAAAGCTTAAAAATGAAATATTGCCAATTGATTTTACCAGAACATTTAAGACTTGGAATAATTGAGAATGTGTGGTGGAGGCATTCAAAACAGAATTAGACCATTGTCTGAAAAATAAAGAAAAAACCCAGGGCCAGGGGAAAAGGCAGCAGAGATGAATTGCTTCTGGTAAGAGTTAGCATGAACATGGCAGGCTGACTAGCCTCCTATCTTGTAAAGGTCCACTGAATCCATATAAAGACAGTTCTTGAAAAGAGCAATATAGTGAAATATATTTTAATAGTTATTAGACAACAATGCAAGCTTTAACCAGGAAAGTGTTGTTTTAATTATCTTTTGGTATCTTGAGTTTTATCTCAGTGGTAGAGTCCCAACCTCTGGGCCAGAAGGTCAGAGTTCAAATCCAGCTGACGCAGAGGTGTATCATTATGTTTCAGAATAGGTCTGAATGAAAAATAATTTCTTTGTGTTAATTTATCAGGTTTTCAATATAAAACTCAATAAGCCATAACTGGCTGTCAAAATGGTGAACCTTATGCTGCTTGCCTTATGTGAATATAATGCTATAACTTGAGGTGAGTGGTCGTTGGCAACTTCAAAATCTACATGTTGTTGCCCCAGTTGCAATATTTTGATGTTGACTTTACTAAAACAGTACTTTGCTCTCTAGCTCACCATTGAAATGCACTGGATGGTTTGAGCTTGCTGTATTTGTTCAGTTAATATGAACTAAGCTTGCCACAGAAGTTTATGTCATTCATTATAACCTAAGTACCCTTTTAATGATGTAATATTAGTTGCTGCCAAACAATCTCTCTGTTCATCAAAGTTAACTATTAAAGTGTGGAGTTTGATACTTTCAGGGGAGGTTTCAACATTCTGAAAGGCTTAGATCAAGCAGGTAGACAGAAATTGTTTCACTTTGTTAGTACAAACACTTTTAATATATTTGGCACAGTATCATGCCAATGGAATTAACACTCTATATACCAAAAAAAATGTGAAATTTTATGCAGATCATAGTTAGCAACTGTCTGCTCAAAATCATATTCTACATTATGGGACTTTGGGTCTATCAAGTTTCCTTGTTAAATGTGAGACAAAAGTTTCTTGCTGTACAAAATAAAAGCTATACATTTCAAAAGTGCTGTATGTTAATTCAGGAAAAGGAAACCCTTCCATCAGTTTATTGGCTCTGATTTTCTGTCAAATTAATGGAGAGGCTAATACTACTCATCATTATTTCGGTGTATAACGTAGAGCAACTTCAAGGCTGTGGATAAATGACAACACTGAAAAGTTGCTGCCCCAATTGTACTACACCACTGTTACCTTAGCAAAAAGGCAAGTGATTGCTTCACTATTGAAGTGCATTGAGTGGTATGAAGTTGCTGTTTGTACACAAAAAATCTAAACAAATGACAGAAAGTTATGTATAAGAACAAATTCCTGTTTAATTATGTGAGTACTGTTAATTACTGATAAACTACCTCGTGGATGATTTAACCCCAATCCTTATTTTTCTTTCTGACCCTGATTGACATTGAACTCACTTTTGCTGAATTAAACTTCTCAGTGCTTTGTGCTGTTAATTTCACAACTCTTTAATCTGATTGGTAAAGAAAATGCTCTGTTTCTTGTCCTGTTTGTTTAGTTCCCAGATGCTTTGTTTCCCTCGTAGCCTTGTCACCAGTTTTCATTTTCACTTTCTTGCCACCAAGCATTTAAAAATCCAAATCTAACTAATGATGGACTCTGTTAGATGCCCTGACACAGTAAATCATGATTCATGTAGTTATTAATATGATTTAAGCTGAAGCTATGAATCTAACAATTAGAGTCATAGAGAAGTATAGCACAGAAACAGACCCTTCAGTCCAACACATCCATGCCAACCATATATCCTAAATAAATCTAGTCTCATTTGCCAGCATTTGGCCCATATCTTTCTCAACCCTTCCTATTCATATCCCATCCAGATGCATTTTAAATGTTGTAATTGTACCAGCTTCCACCTCTTCCTCTGGCAGCTCATTCCATATACGCACCACCCTCTGTGTGAAACAGTTGTCCCTTAGGCCCCTGTTAAATCTTTCCCGTTTCACTTAAACCTATGCTCTCTAGTTTTGGACTCCTCCACCCTTGTCTATTTACCCTATCCATGTCACTCATGATTTTATAAACCTCTACAAGTGGAGCCTCCAACACTCCAGGGAAAATAGCCCCAGCCTGTTCAGCCTCTCCGTATAGCTTAAACCCTCCAACCCTGGCAACATCCTTGAAAATCTTTTCTGAACCCTTCCAAGTTTCACAACGTCCTTCCAATAGGAGGGAGATCAGAATTGAACGCAGTTGTCCACTACCCTATCTACCTGCAAGTCCACGTTCAAGGAACTCTGAACCTGCATGCCAAGGTCTCTTCATTCAGCAACATTCCCCAGGATCTTACCATAAATTGTATAAATCCTGCCCTGACTTGCATTTCCAAATTGCAGCACCTCACATTTATCTAAATTAAATTCCATCTGCCACTCCTCAGCCCATTGGCCCATCTGATCAAGATCCTGTTGTACCCTGAAGTAACCTTCTTTGCCAATTTTGGTGTCATCTGCAGACTTATTAACGATACGTCCTATGTTCACATCCATATGAGGAGAGACTGAGTAGACTGGGATTATACTCATTGGAATTCAGAAGAATGAGAGGAGATGTTATAGAAACACATAAGATTATGAAGGGAATAGATAAAGTGGAGGCAGGGAGGTTGTTTCTGCTAGCAGGTGAAACTAGGACTAGAGGGCATTGCCTCAAAATAAAGGGAAGCAGATGTAGCACTGAGGTCAGGAGGAACTTCTTCACCCAAAGGGTTGTGAATCTGTGGAATTCCCTGCCCAGTGAAGTGGTTGAAGCTACCTCGCTGAATGTTTTTAAGGCAAGGCTAGTTAAATTTTTGAACAGTAAAGGAATTAACGGTTATGGTGAGTGGGTGGGTGAGTGGAGCTGAGTCTCAAAAAGATCAGCCATGATCTTATTAAATGGCGGGGCAGGCTTGAGGGGCCAGATGGCCTACTCCTGCTCCTAGTTCTTATGTTCTTATATCATTTACATAAATGACGAAAAACAGTGGACCCAGCACCGATCCTTGTGGCACACTTGGTCACAGGCCTCCAGTCTGAAAAGCAACCCTCCAACTCCACCCTCTGTCCTCTACCTTCGAGCTAATTCTGTATCCAAATAGCTAGTTCTCCCTGTATTCCATGTGATCTAACCTTGCCAACCAGTCTATCATGAGGAACCTTGTTGAACGCCTTACTGAAGTCCGTGTAGATCACATCCACCGCTCTGCCCTTATCGATCTTCATTACTTCTTCAAAAAACTCTATTAAGTTGGTGAGACACTTGTATGCTAACAAAATATATAATCAATTTTAATTTGCCAAAAATTTGTTTTCTTTTGCATAATGTTTGCCAAAATTGCTTGTAGTTAAACTACTGCAGTTCATTTTATGCTTTTAGAGATTTTTGAAGTAAAACCCAATCTACCTCATCTTTTAAGCTGTTTCTGAAAAATTAAATGATTTTGTCATGAATAAGACTAATTTTCCATTCTGCTAAGTTCTGATAATATTTGTTGGTCTTCATTAATTATTTAGTTTAGTTTTCATTGAAACAATGCATTCCTTAACGAGACATACAGGCCATTTGATATCTTTATATTGATTGCTATTTTTGCCAATTGTGTGGCCTTAGCTGTTTACATACCTTTCCCAGAAGATGACTCCAACTCAACAAATCATGACCTGGTAAGTGCTCTGATTACTTCTATCTAATTACTTTTGTCAGTCTTATTTAAATGGAAAAGCAACAGAGGGATCTCACCATGGGCTCAAATCTGTTTGAAAAGGCTACATAACTATAGTAATCTAATATTCTAGATAAAGTATCGGAAGTTATTTGTTCGTACCAGTGAAAATTTCTCTAGAAGCACAGATTGTTAAATTTCTTTGGATGGTACAACGTTTTCTTATGCAGTGCAGCGCTCACTTTCTGCAGGCTTAATTGGTTTTCATACACTATGTACATTCTTTTGTAAAAGGACAGGTGTATTACAAAGTATGTGTGTTTCCTTCAGAATTATATTGTGGAAAAATCAATTACTTTCCAATGTTGATGTAAACTAATTTCTTGATGGTGATAAACTCTTTATTAATACTGCTGTTATTGTTTAAATATCTGCATAAGAAGCAGGGAAAATGAAGTGTAGTGTTATTGTAGTATAATTAGGAATTTTCCTAGCAGCTTATATTGTACTTTTTTGGTTTGTTTTTCCTGAAATCTCATTAATGCATCAAGATTGTCCTTCTTTGAATTGATTATGCTTATTTGTTGGTATGCTAAAGCTGAATCGTGAGTTGGAACAGTAATTGTGTTCAATAGTTTCATTCATATAGTAATTAATTCAATAATTCTATTTATAGAATAAAGATCAAAGAGATAATCAAGTACACCAGATTTGAGCAATTGGTTTTATTCATGATGTGGAGTCTTATTTCTTAATTGGCATTGTGATTGTGGAGGAGCTTTTTGCAGGGAATATTGTACTATTTTCTGTCTAATGTGGTTAGATTTTAGGTTCAGTTTTGTTCCCAATTAGATTGAGTAATGCTTTAAATTCTTTTTAATTCTCGTTTAGGCACTTACAATCATAAGTTGTGAACTACCTTTATTTTCCCTTCCCTTTTGCATGTGAAAAATGTTTAACTTCCTAATGTACCTGTGGCTAAATGAGTGACCATGGGGAGGCCCAGTGGTTGATGCTCATCAATATGCAAGTGTTGGCAGGACGTGGCTGTCCAGTGTTACAAGTGAGCTACAAGAAGCCTAACTGGAGCCGTTAGGAATATTCCTCGACACTAATGTAGTTGGTTTGGAGAGAGAGAGAGAGAGGTTGAATGGAGATTGTGATAGAGGTAGGGAACAGAAGACCCTGTATTTGACCCTGGGGCCTGTGGGAAACTCCTGGACCAAAAGGCAAAAAAAAACATTGTAACAAACTTGTATTGCTTAATTTCATGGCACCAGATCCATGTCCAGGATGTACAGGCTAGGTGGATTAGCCATAGTAAATGTGGAGTTATGGGGATGGAGTGGATAGCTTGGATGGGATGCTGTTTGGAAGGTCGGTGCAGACTTGATGGGGTGAATGGCTTCTATCTGCACTGTGGGATTCGATGACAGTTTGTTTTCCTGGGGAACCAATGTAGCTTTGCAGTTCAGTGCTTATGTTTGAGGTGTAATGGGGACCTGTCTTAATACTATCATCGCATCCTCATCTACGTCTTCAAATGGTGATCCTAATTGCTTTATGTAAGTGTTTTTGATACCTGTAAGATTAAGTGGAAGGTCAGTGATGAGTTTCTCATTTGATTTTAACTGCCCCTCTCACTTGTTTCCATTCGTGGTTGAGGGTTAAAATTCCCTTTCATTTCTTGATTAAGAAGGCAAACAGCTGTTCTGCAACTTGTCTGTTACAGGGAGCTGTAAATTATCCTACCTACCTGGGGAATGGCTTTTCCTGTATTCTGGTTCTGCCCAGTTAATCAGTTGTATCATGTTCAAATTTGCAGTGCACTGTATCATCAAGCTACTAGCTTATGCTTTTTGAAGAATATTGATAACAATTTTCATCACCCTGCTCTTGTGCATTACTTGGGAGAAGATTCAAAGGGCTTGTTCTCTAATTTTCTGCCATCCCCAGATGAAATAAACTTATTTCTTCTTGATCTCACCCCTGATGTGTTGAGGCAAAATGATCATAGCAAAGTGGCCACTGAGCACAAGTCCATGATATGCTTGTCTACTGTGTTAACACACCTGCATAGTTTGTTTATAAACTGATACATGTAGATTGTTACGATCCTTCCCCAGTCACTTTAACACATGGCCCTGTTCTTTGGCAAAGTCTCTGTCTGAAGCTTGCTACAGTGCTCCAGCGAAGCTCAGCACAAGCTGGAAGCACGGCACATCGTTTTCTGCTTGGGGACCTTGCAGCCTTCTGGACTTAATATTGATTGAGAAGATTGTGGTGAATGCATTTGAAGTGGTGTTTGGATTTCCAAAAAGCATCAGAGAAAGTAATAACAGACTTGTCAGAAAAATTGAAGCCATAGAGTCGTACAGTATAGAAGGATGCCCTTGGCCCACCGTGTCTACCAACAAATTCCACATTTGGTCCACAGCCTACTATGCCTTGGCATTTTAAGTGCTTGTTCAAATGTTTCTTAAATAGTGCAAGAATATCTATCTCCACCACCCTCTCAGGCAGTGTGTTGCATATTTCTGCCACTGTGGATGGAAAAAGCTTTCCTCAGGTCCTCTGTAAACCACTTACTACTCATTTTAAACTTATGCCTGCTGGTCTTCGACACATCTGCCATGGGGAAAAGATTCTCATGATCTACCCTACCTATGCCTCTAATAGTTTTATGTACTTCAACTAGATCTCCCCTCAGCCTACACTACTCCAGGGAAGACAATTCAAGCCTCTCCAGTCTGCCCTCAAAACTGCGATTTTCCATCCCGGCAACATCCTGGTGAATGTCCTCTTCATCCACTCCAGAACAATCACATCCTTCTGATAGTGTGGCGACCAGAACCGCACAAAGTATTCTATCTGTGGCCTAACCTTTGTTTTATAAAGGGATAGTAAGAACTGCCAATGCTGGAGCCTGAGATAACACAATGTGGAGCTGGAGGAACATAGGAGGCCAGGCAACATCAGAGGAGCAGGAAAGCTGACGTTTCGGGTCGGGACCCTTCTTCAGAAATGATGCTGCCTGGCCTGCTGTGTTCCTCTAGTTCCACGCTGTGTTATCTCAATGTTTTATAAAGTTGTAACAGGACTTGCTTCTTCCTGTATTCTACACCACACCTAATGAAGACAAGCATCCCGTATGCATTCTTCACTACCTGTGTTGCCACCTTCAGGGATCTATGGATTATACACCAAGGCCCTTTTGTTTCTCAGTACTCGCTATGGCCTACCATTCACTGTGTATATCTTTCCCTTATTAGACTTCTCAAAATGTATCACTTCATACATATCGGGATTAAATTCCAGATTACTCTGACCAGCTAATTAATGTCAGACTGTAGCCTGAGACTACCAATTTTTGTGTATTTGCAGGCTTACAAATTCAACCTTCTACATTCATATCCAAGTCATTAACGTATGTAACAAGCAGCAAGGGTCCCAGCACCGATCCTTGTGATACACTGCTGATCACAGGCTTCCAATTACTCCAACAACCCTCCACCTTCAACCTTTGCCTCCTATTTGCAAGCCAGTTTTGTATTCAGTTTTGCCTTTGGCCCCTTGGGCTCTTACTTTTTGGACCAGCCTTCCCTGTGGGACTTTGACAAAGGCCTTACTGAAGTCTATGTAAACCAAATCAACTACACTGCTCTCGACATATTTAGTCAGCTTTTCCAAAATCTCAAATTAGTCAGACAAGATCTTCCTCCAACAAATTCATGTTAACTATCCCTTATCAATCCCTGCCTTTCCAAGTAATCCTATCCTTCAGATTTTTTTTCGAATAATTTCCCTACCACTGACATCAGACTAAATGGTCTATAATTACCTGGACTGTCCCTGCTGCCCTTCCTAAACAAAGGGACCAGATTAGCTATCCTTCAGGCATCTGACACTTCATCTGTGGCTAGTGAAGTATTAAATATTTCTGCCAAAGCCCCAGAAGTCGCCTCTTTTTGTCCTCTTGTAGCAGCCTGGGATGCATCTCATCAGGCCTCAGGGATTTATGCACTTTTATGCCTGCTAAAACATCCAGTACCTCCTCCATATTAATTTTAACGTGCTATAGAACCTCACCATCCCAATTGAAATCTCCAGCTGCAATGTGAATTTGTGAATAAAAATGAGAAGTATTCATTTAAGACCTCACACCCACATCCTCTGGCTCCATGCACAGATTGCCCCTTTGGTCTCTAATTGGCCCCACTCTTTCACTGGTAATCCTCTTAGTGTTAATATACTTATAAAATGCCTTGGAGTTTTCCTTAATCCTATCTGCCAAAGCCATGGAAGAAACATAGCGGTGGTAACACAGGCAAAATGTTGGCTGAATGATGGCAGAGTAGTAGTGAATGACTGATTTTCTTTTCGAACTGAAAGAAGTTAAGTAGTGGTGTTTCCCAGAGGTTTGTATTATGATCACTACAAATGTTGGTTAATATTAATGATCATGACTGAATGCACACCACAAGGAGAGAGCAAGAGACCTTCTTTCTGAGGATCAGTAGTCTATGGAATTTTCTTCACCAGGTAGCAGCAGAGACAGGGTCATTGAACAATATTTAAAGTTGAGTTAGAAAGATTCTTGATTGACAGGTCATTAAAGATCAAAGGGGATAGGCAGAAAAGTAGAGTTGAGGCCACATCAAATCATCCATGACCTCAAGAAATAGCAGATGGCATAAAGCCTGGAAATATCATGAACTGTGAGAACAATAGCAATAGATTTCAAAAGAGCATCAACAGGCTGGTGGAATGGGCAGACAAATGGCAGATGAAAGTTAATGCAATGAAGTTTGAAGTGATGCATTTTGGTATGAAGAAAGAGGAAAGGCAATATGTAATAAAGTATACAATTCTAAAAGGGGTGCAAGAGCAGAGGGGCCTGAGAATTTCTGTGTAAATGTTTTTCAAAGAGAATTATCTGTTGAAAAATCAATTAAATGAAATCAATCATAAGTAGAGGCGTAGAACTCAAGACAAGTTATG